GATGTAACTCAGTGGTAGAGTGCTTGTAACTCAGTAGTAGAGTGGGTTTGATACCCAGCACTATGGGAACAAAACATTAAAAATAAAAAGCCAGGTTTCACCCGAGATTCCCAAGTGCTTTCTGGCTTTGAATCATGTCTATTTTATGTTGTTCTCTGAAGATGCCCTCTGCAGGAAAAGACAAACTCCTGAGAAAGATCTTACATTCCTCCAACAGGCTCTTCTAATCAGAGCCTATCTTTCTGGTCTCTTTGAGGAAAAAATGTAATTGATTTCTAATGTAATCTGAACCATTATCTATTTCCAAGTCAATCATTTCTATTAGCCATCATTTTGACTCTTTTGTGTTTCCTGGTGCCAAATATGAAATTTTCCACTACTTGACAGTCGATCTTGTTTTAATTTGCTTTCTGTCTTTAGTCTTTAGAGCAAATAACATCCTAGGCTTCCAAAGGCTCTACCTTGGGGAGTAGGTACCAAATGATCTTTCTGATACTCATGTCTGTAATCAGTTACCTCATGAGGCTGAGATCTAAGGATCTAAGCAGCTCAGGGACAGTACCCAGGCCCTGAGTGAGTTCAATCCCCAGGACTGGCAAGAATGAATAAATAAAATAACACAGGAAGTGTTGCTGCTTACATCTTTGACTTTTTGGTGGTTAATTGGAGATAAAAGTCTCATATGCTTTTTTTTGCCTGGGCTGGCTTTGAACTATGATCCTCAGATCTCAGTCTCTTAAGAGTAGCTAGGATTATAGATATGAGCTAATAGTGCCCCACCAAAGGTTTCATCCTATGGGAAAATAATGTAATTTCCAAAGTCACCACACCTGCCTATTTTCCTTGTACCCCTTGTGCTCCAATCATAGTGGTCTATGAAGATGGCATCTACTAGAGGAAGTGCCCAGGAAACTAAAACACTTTATCCTTCTGCGGCCTAATTACCCTTGGCTTCTGGTCTTCCTTTGGGGTTTGGTTTCACTTTCTTGGGTGCTTTTGTGTTTGTGTTATTTATACCAAGTGCAGTTAGATGCCTACCTCCTGGCATGGTCAGAGCTCACACGCATGGGTACCTGCCTGAATCTGTTAGAAACAGCTGTGGATGTTGGGGTGTTGCATGGAAATTAAGGACACCAACTGGGCAAGGCAAAGTTTACTTCTGAAGGGTGCACCATCAGCCAGAAATCTGTCAATCAAGTACAGAGCCCAGCCAGGCTGCTCCCTTTTTATTTCTAACCCATCAGGCCCCGCCTCTCTGCTCCAATTGGCTGAGCTGAAGCTCACCGGTTGCAAAAGGATGTGGCTTAATGAACAGGATGTAACTAGAATTCAAGGAGCTTCTAACAGGATGTTTTAATGAAAGTGTTCAGGAACAGGATGTCTGTAACTAAAATGTAATTAACAAGGACCAAGCCACCTGGCCAAAGCAGGAACTCTTCAGAAAAACAATTCTCTCCCTTAACAGAAAGGAAGCAAACTAGGTTGATAAGTTTTCTCACAAAAACCTTCTTGCCTGTCTCCTTTGTACTGAAATTATTGTTCTGCATCACCATGCCTGGTTTGTACCTAGGCACTGTTCCTGAGCTTTTGTGTTCAAAGTTAATACTCTTGTCACTTGAGCCACAGCTCTACTTCTGGAGGTTTTTGGTGGTTAATTGGAGGTTAAGAGTCTCATGGATTTTCCTGCCTGGGTTGGCTTTGAACCACTGGTGCCCTGCCTTAAGATTTTAAAGAATTGAATGTATTATTTTCTAATACTTTGTTTCCAGGTAGAGATGCCACAAACCACAGCCTTTTTTTCTTTTTTTGGCCAGTCCTGGGGCTTAAACTCAAGAGCCTGGGCACTGGCCTGAGCTTCTTTTGCTCAAGGCTAGCACTCTACCACTCAATTGAGCAATAGCACCAACTCTGGCTTCTGTTTATGTGGTACTGAGGAATTAAACCCAGGGTTTCATGCACACTAGGCTATAGATACTCTTCTGAGAGGAGTATATAATTATGGTTATACTTTCAATAACCAAATAAAGTCAGCCTTGGGCAAAAAAGCTAAGGTGGTACCCTAGCATGAGTTAAAGCTACACACACACACACACACACAGAGTTAATCCATGAGATATACTCACGAGTCATTTATATCACTACTAATTCACATTTCCAGCCCCTCAGCCTCCTTTGATTAGCCACCCACCAGGACAAGAAACTGGGTTGGTTCATCCTTGGGCACGCCCCCTACCCCACCATTCTGAAACAAGCTTTATGAAGTCAGTTGTCTGGATTAACCTACTCCAGTTCAGGCAAGAGAAAACTCACCACTAGGTGGCACTAGCAAGATGCTTTTGATGGCTCTGGTTCTGCAGAAAACGAAATTTCTTCGGGAATAGGCTGACAACTCCTACAACACTAACCAGGCTAAGGAGGAAGATAAATGAACAGTTTCAAATCTGCAGTGATTGTGTGCTCTCTCTAGAGAATTCAAGTCCCACAATCAGGGGGGAAATGTTAACTTCTGGGCCCCATTCTGAACAACTCTAAGACAAATGGAAATTCATTGGTGGCAGAAGCAATCTCCCCTTGGTAAGCCCACTTGCCTTGTCTTTCTAAATTCTTGGGATGTTGTGGCCATTGCAGGCTGCTCCAATGGCGTTCACATCCAAGTTCATCTCAGAAAGGGAGCAGAGTCAGCAAAGCAGGCCCTCACCCAAGCCCCGCCAAGTCCAGCCTCCCAAAGCTCACTTCTGACTTTTTGTTAGTTAATTGGAGATAAGTCTCATGGGCTTTCCTGCCAGGACTGGTGGCTTTGAACCTCTATCCTCAGGTATCAGCTTCCTGAGTAGCTAGGATTATGGGCATAAGCCACTGGCACTCAGCCTTTTTTTTCTTTACTGGGTACTGGACTTGAACTCAGAGCTTGGGCCTCGTCTTTTAGCTCCTTCTCTGAAAGTTGGTGCTCTACCAATTGAGCTACAGCTCTTCCAATTTTTGTTTTTTTTTGTCGGTTGTGGGTCTTAAACTCTGAGCCCTGGGCGCTGTCCCTGCGCTCTTCAGCTCAGGGCTAGCACTCTACCGCTTGAGCCACAAGGCTACTTCCAGTTTTCTAGTCTCACATATTTTCTGCCCAGGTTGTCTTTGAACCATGACCCTCAGATCTCAGCCTTCTGAGTAGCTAGGATTACAGGTGTGAGCCACCGGCACCCAGCTTGTTTTTTTTTTTTTTTTTGTCAGTCTTGGGGCTTGAACTCAGGGCCTGGGCTCTGTCTCTGAGCCTCTTTGTGCTCAAGGCTAGTGTTATACCATTTGAGGCACAGTGTCACTTCCGCTTTTTCTGTTTATGTGGTACTGAGGAATCAAACCCAGGGCTTCATCATGCTAGGCAAGCTCTCTACCACTAAGCCACATTCCCAGCCCTACTTCCAGGTTTTGTTGGTTAATTGGAGATAAGAGTCTGATGAACTTTCTTGCCCAGGGTGGATATGAACTGTGTTCTCACATCTCAGCCTCTTGAGTAGCTGGAATTACAGCTATGAGTTACAGATACCTAATTTGATTCTGGTGATCTTAATGAGTCCTTGTTGCAATATAGTGAATAATAAACATAAAACAAGTTTTTTAAAAATAAAGTACAGACTTTTCTCCTTATCTGAAACACCACAAAACAGTACCTCGAGTACTTGAGTGAAATTAAAACAAACATGAATTTTAAGGATTTTTTTTTTTTGGTCGTGGGGCTTGAACTCAGGGCCTGAGTGCTGTCCCTGAGCTTCTTTGTGCTAAAGGTTAGTGCTCTACCACTTGAGCCACAGTGCCACCTCTGGCTTTTGAATGGCTAACTGGAGATAAGAGTCTCACAGGGACTTTTCTGCCCAGGCTGGCTTCAAACCAGGATCCTATGACCTCAGCCTCCTGAGTAACTAGGATTGTAAGTATGAGCCACCGATGTCTGGCGATTTTTTTCTTCGTAATAATGGATCTTTTAAGCCTAGTGGAAAGTCTGTGTGTCTAATGTGTTTAGAGTTCCAATAATCACATTTCAGCTTGTTAAGGAATGAATCCCAAAGTCTTCAGGACAATTCTGCAACAGATAATAATGGCTTAGAATGAATTAAAAACGATAAATATACGGTTTTTCTTTTTTTTCCCCCAAGTTTATTTTGAGTTTTCATTTTTTTGGATAATCAAGCAGCTCTTTAGGGAGAATGCGCAGAAGAGTCATTCTGGCACTTTCGGATATATAAGATTCAGTTGTCACATTCTGTCCCCTTGCTCAGTCCATCTCTCATGTTTGGCAAGCAAGACGGGCCCATAGGATTCCAGAGTTAATACGTAACCCTATATACAAACAGCCAGGAAACCCATCATGGTGGCTATTGGCCAAAGGAATGGAGGAGGGGAGGGCCTCTCTAAAGTGACCTCTAGTCTATCTTAGCTAAACAGAACCCACGTTACACATAATAACTAGAGAGTACACTGCATTGAAATGGGGGCACGCTCAGCACAAATGGCACCTGGCAAGCATGCAATTCAAAGAAAAGGGGTATCATTGAATAACTTTATAGAAAATTCAGGCAGTTCAATTAAAGGGTGTAAGAAAAACAAGACCAAAAATAACAACAACAACAAAGTGAGGGACTGTCTGTTGTCACTGTAAAAAAGGCACTTGGAGTTAATAGGACCAGAATTGAAAGACTCTTTAAACTGATTTAAAAAAAAAAAAAACAAAAAACAACTCAGTGCGATTTCATTTAAAAAGGCTTGGATGTTTAGAGACGATGCTTCCGAGTTCCTGAAGAGGAGAGCCCGAAGTAAAACCACTGAGAAGTAGAACAGATTCAAATGAGGGAATAAAAATCTTACCACCAAATTGTACTTAAAAAAAAAGACAAAACGAATAAACCAAAAACAACAACAACCAAAAAAAAACACCCTCCAAAAAGCAAAAGCGAATCTCCAAAAGAAATCTAACCAAAGCAAAAAACCAAACAAAAAAAAAGAAACAAAAAACAACCCCCCCCAAACAACAACAACAAAAACAAACCAAAGCAAAAACAAAGCCTACCCAGCAGCAATGCATAGCTTTCCTTTGCAATAATGGCGACCTTGGGGACAGGAGCGTCCTGCTCATTTCCCAGTAATAGCTTCATCGTTGCATTATCATGAGAAAATGGATTCAAGCAATGCAAAAAAGAAAGAAAGAAAAGAAAAAGAGAAAAAGAGAAGAGTTTCATCTGTTCCCAGAATCTGAGGGAGGACTGAGGTGATCCTTGGAGCACAGGACCAGGGTGCTTGGTTTGTCAGCATACCAGGCAGGTCAAGTCCGTGGAAAAGACATTCCCACACTTCTCTCCCAGCCACCACCCAGGAAGGGCAGCATGCATCAGAGATCCTGTCTTCTGAATACTCCTTTGAGTTCCTTTCTACCATCATCGCCGCAGCGTCAACGTGGTGAATCAACCCATCCATGCTCGCCTCGGTCCGGCTTCCTTCACAAACAGGTACGTGCTTCCGTAAGAAAGGATATTTGGCAATTTTATATTCCACAGCTGGGTGGCTTAGCGAGGGCTCATTTGATGTTAAAGGCCATCAGGGGTCTCTCCTCTCGTTTCTGCCAGGGGCTTTTCTTATCTTCTCCTTGGTCATCGTCATCATCATCCTCTTCGTCGTCATCACGAGCAGATCTTCTGTGTTGAGGGCTGGCTAATGGCTCCTGGGGGCCATCTACAGTTCGTTTGGTTGTCTCCTCCTGTAGGCTGGGCAGCTGCCCCCCACTCCTTCGACTGGAACCTTCCAGTAAACATCGCAGTGTACTGTCCTCCGGGGTGCACACAGTGGTCCCACACTCACTGCCGCTCTGGTCTACGTCATCCAGATACACGAGCTGCGTGTAGGTGTTGCTGTCCTGGGTCCTGGATTCCTTCTGCTGGTGCTCCTGGACGGGTGGGTGGCCTTGCTGGAGAGACAAAGGGTCACCCCTTCCCTTCCGGGCAGATTTTGGTTCATTCATATCCACACCAGAGTCTAAACTGGCATCGTTACTTCCATTCCTTCCAGCTCTTTGGAGATCAATGTAGGAGTGTCTAACGTGAGCATTGGACCTTCCATCCAGGGAGACGAACCACGCTCGGGGGTGTGGAAGTGGCTTTCCACCACCAAGTTCCATCAGAGCCTTTTCAGTCAGGAGCTGCACCTCGCTGTTCATCTGAGCCAAAGCTGCATCATTCAAAGATGCCGGGATGGACAGAGACTCCGACATAGCTGTGTTCTGAGGGCTCCACTCTCTCGAGCCTGTCTCCTGCAGGTGTTGCTGAGAGATGGCCTGGGAAGACAAAGGCTGACCCTGCATCTGAGAGGTCGGGTGGGGGAAGAGCCCTGCGTGGGGGTTGGACAGCTCCGCCTGGAGTCTTCCGATCTCCAGCTGCTGGTCTGCGGGGACCACCAGAGGCTGGCTGACATACGAGTGGTCCCCTGGAAGTTTCATATAATGAGCAGGGATGACCAACGCAGGCAAGACTTTCCTGTAAACGCTGTCATTGACCTGATCCACGGAACTGCAGCAGATCAACTGGCCTGGCCGTGGGAAAGATGTGGGTCTCTCCAGGTGATCGACTGATCGAGACATCATACATTCAGTAGGTCTGCGGTCCAGCAGCTGTTCTTTTTCAGGGGACGAAGGCGCGGGGTACATAGGTTCCTGAATGGTGAGTTTGCTTCCTGTGGATGCTGAGTTGTCTCGGTCCTGCTTTTCAAATAAAGGCTGGGACAGCATCGCATTGTAACTAGCCCTGTAGTCATCATTGCCAGAAGACTCGTAGCCTTCTCTTTCCAGAGATTTTCTTGCCTTTAAGGGAAAAATCTCCACGGATTTGTGATAATCTTTCCCTAGCGTCCCACTTGGCGTCAGGTTATCAAAGGATGCTTGGCTTTTATCCTCTTCTTTATGGGAGAGCAGTTCCTCTCGTGAGCTAAATTCTTGTGAGGTACTATAGGAGAGTTTTAGCATGGGTGTATGCAGGTCCCCCTCTCCATTTGGGGACATCATTTCTAAATGGGCCCCACCCAGCAGCTCCTTTGTCCCTGGGGCCTCTGGGCGGCCATGACTGGAGACAGACAGTGGACCGGGAAACTCTGATGCCCGTCGAGAAAACAGTAAGTTGATGTGGGACATGGATGTTGACTGGTCCCTTTTAGAACTCTCAAGGGTTGCAGGAAGTTGTAGTTTTCTATGATGCTGACGGGGTTTCAAGCACTTCCTCCTGCGACCAACCAAAGACAGGATTCCAACTGAGATTAGGGATGCTCATGATGGCCAAGTATCATGTTTTAGATAGAAATCCTAATTCTCAAGCTCCAAAAGGCTAAACAAAATACAGCACATCAGCAGCCTCTTCAGTCAATATACTCAAGTTTAAACTATTATCACATAATCTGGTAATTGCATCATTAGGCTTTTTTTAAAAAAGGATACTGGAGATAGAACTTAGAGCCTCATGCTTTCTAGGCAGGGGCTCTATTATTTGATCGATACTTCCAGCTTGACTTTTTGCTGATTATTTTGGAGATAGCGGCTCATGGACTTTTCTGCCTGGGCTGGCTTCAAGCCATAATCCTCTAGATCTCAGCCACCTTATATAGCTAGGATTATAGATGTGAGCCAATGGCACCCAACAATAATAAGTTTTCTTACGAACTGAACAGGCAGGGCATCAAATGGAGAATCATTCTGCTTAGATCACAGAGTATCATCTCTCTCTCTCTGTCTGTCGGTCATGGGGTGTGAACTCAGGGCTTAGGTGCTGTCCCTGAGCTTTTTCAGTTAAGGCTAGTGCTCTTCCACTTGAGAACCATAGCTTCACTTCCAGTTTGCTGGTGTTTAAATGGAGATAAGAGTCTCATGGGGACTTTTCTGCCGAGGCTGGCTTCAAACCATAATCCTCAGATCTCAGCCTCCTGAGTAGCTAGGGTAACAGGCCTGAGCCACAACCAGTTTTGAGGGATATTCTGAGTCCTATGACAATTGCCCAACTGTTACAACTCCCATTCTAGGCCTGCTATGTATAAGAATGCCTGTGTATCCTACTGATTTATCTGGATCACATATTTGAGTTCTTAGATATCCTTTCATGAGAAGAAAACACAACCCAATTTAAGGAGAAAAAGAACAAACAAACCAAACAAACCATGTCCCTACCAATGCTTCTGAACTCAAACTGAGTAAGAAATCCCAAATTAAAAAAAGATATTGCAAGCCGGGCACTGGTGGCTCACGCCTGTAATCCTAGCTACTCAGGAGGCTGAGATCTGAGGATCGCGGTTCAAAGCCAGCCCGGGCAGGAGAGACCGTGAGACTCCTATCTCCAATAAACCACCAGAAAACCGGAAGTGGCGCTATAGCTCAAGTGGTAGAGCGCTCGCCTTGAGCTGAAGAGCTGAGGGACAGCGCCCAGGCCCAGAGTTCAAGCCCCACGACCAACAAAAAAAAAAAAAAAAAAGATATTGCAGTGGGTGCTGGTGGCTCATGCCTGTAATCCTAGCTACTCAGGAGGTTGAGATCTGAGGATTGCTGTTCAGAGCCAGCTCAGGCAGGAAAATCTATCTTATCTCCAGTTAAGCCCCAAAACAGTTGGAAATGGTAGAGAGCTAGCCTGGAGCAAAAAAATTTTGGGGACAGTGCCCAGGGCTTGTGTTTAAACCCTAGGACACACACACACACACACACACACACACACATACACACACACACACACACACACTCTCTCTCTCTCTCTCTCTCTCTAATGCTGTCAGCTTCCAGTGGTGGTATATGTCTATAACCCTAGCTACTCAGAAGGCTGACCTTTGAGGATCATAGTTCAAGGCCAGCCTGGGCAGGAAAGTTCATGAAACTCTTATTTACAATTAACCACAAAAAAGCTGGAATTGAGATGTGGCTCAAGTGTTAAAGCACTAGCCTTGAGCAAAGAAGTGCAAGGATAGTACTTAGACCCTGAGTTCAAGCCCCAGGATGGGCACATGTGCACGCATGCGCGCGCGCGCACACACACACACACACACACACACACACGATATTGCCAAAATAGTAACACTTTACCTGCAATAGTATAAAAGGAGACACAGCAAAACCAAAAGAATGAAAGCCATTCCTCCTAGAATGGCCAAAAGAAACACCGTGTGGTATGTGGTAATGTCTTGCGTGGTGACAGGCCCTACAAAATCAGAAAACAGCATTGTAGAATTCTGAACCTCTTTAAATAAAAACTGGAAGATCAGCTGAGAAGGTCATGCTTAGTCTTACTCTTCCTGACTCAGCCAGATGAGAGAGTACATACCCCTTAGGCAGTGAGCTTAATGGTACCACATTTTCATTCCATGATGAACATGTTATCCTTCCATGATATCACAAAAGCTTCAATGGCCTATAACACTCAATACCTAAATATCAAATGCTGTTGTACCCACCTGGTAGGACACTCAGCATTGTAAATGCATAATCTTTTTATTTATTTATATTTATTTATTTTGCCAGTCCTAGGGCTTGAACTCAGGGCCCCACTACTGTCCCTGAGTTTGTTGTTTTTGCTCAAGACAAGTGCTCTGCCACTTGAGCCACAGCATCACCTCCGCCTTTTTCTGCTTATGTGGTACTGAGGAATGGAATCCAGGGCTTCATACATGCTAGCTACCACAGGGCTTCATACATGCTAGCTACATGTGGCTACCACTAAGCCACATTCCACCCCATGCATGATCTTTTATAAAAGAAAATAAATGCATGGTAATCTAATTCATGGACTCTTACAATCAGGAGATGGTCTGAGTATGTGAGGATTTTATATACAGGAAAAAAAATCATAAGATTTTTAGTATAGATTTAAAAGAAAGACAACTTAGCTAGGACCAGCCTCCATCCTTTCAGTGACTTTGGGAGTCTAAGTGTTAAGTCTAGCGATAATCCCATTGCTAAAATAGTTGCAACTTTTATTGAACAACTGTCTTCATGGTTCATTTGCAAGAGGCACCCCTTGATGGTAACACTGTGGACTTTACTCCATCACCCACTTTGATCATCAGGTTTGGATGTTCTTGACTTTCAGATGTGGATAAAAGAAAAATCAAAGGTATATCCCTTACCACATAAAGTTTTGACACCAAGAAAGAGATTTCCCCAGGGCAGGCAGTGCTTGACTAATAATAGGAGTCATCCCTGGAAATAATTTTCCTATGATACTGATTTTGAAAAAAAAACCCACCAAAAAAACAATTCTGGAATACTAAGATAATACAGATTAAAAAAAACCCAAATCAACCATATACATTTAGTAATGTTCCTAAGAACTAGGTATGAATTCATATTTTCCAAGTTGAGATTACTCTTTTTCGACACAAAAGCAATTGGTCTATGTTTAAGCCTTTGATCAATGACAAACTGGGCATTTTATCCCAGGAACCCTGCTCTCCCCCCCCACAGGTTCCCTTACACCAAACCACAGCTGTTTCAGGAATTAGAGAGGAGGTCTCAGCCACCCCTGAGGGCTCTTGATTAAGAATTCCCTATGGCAGCTGGCTTGAGCAAAACAGGAATAGGAGACAGGACTATTCTCCATGCATTATTCTTATCCTAGATGGAAAAGTTCCAACCAGAACTCCCCACCCCCACAAAATACTCCTCCCTTCACCCCATCATTAGGTTTCCAGATTTAGCTGTTTTTGAACAGAAGGTGATCTCTCTACTGAAACCATTTCCCAAAGCATGCTTAACCAGAATCCTGGAAGCAATCAATCCCCATCATCAGAGTGTTAGCTCTGTTACCTGGGATGGGAGGAGACATGGCTGCTACCCAGTATCCCAGCTGGGGGGCAATGTACGTCCACGTCAGCTGGGTGCCTTCTTGGTGCACCAGACCTAGGCCGCTCTTCAGCCACGTTCCTGTGGGATTCAGAAAAGAACTTCAGCTGTATGCATACTAAACTCCTGCTTAAAGCTTAAGTCACCTCAAATGTCAAATTTATAGCTCATGTTGATAAGCCTGGATAATCAAATTTTCATCTAGGGATCGCAAACAATCAAAATGCGCTGCAATTTCCTTTAAGGAAAAAAAGGGAATGGTGTTAAGAATTTCTTAGTGCCCGGAGCTGGTGACTCATGCCTGTAATTCTAGCTGCTCATGAGGCTGAGATCTGAGGATCAAAGTTTGAAGTCAGCCTGGGCAGAAAAGTCTGTGAGACTCCATCTTCAATTGACCATGAAAAGGCTGGAAGTGGGTATATGACTCAAGTGGTAGAGCACCAGTCTTTTTTTTTTTTTTTTTTGGTCAGTCCTAGGGCTTGAGCTCTGGGCCTGGGCTCTGTCCCTGAGCTCTTCAGCTCAAGGCGAGCACTCTACCACTTGAGCTACAGCGCCACTTCCAGTTTTCTCATGGTTTATTGGAGATAAGAGTCTCACAGACTGGCTTTAAACCTGATCCTCAGAGCTCAGCCTCCTGAGTAGCTAGAATTACAAGTGTGAGCCACCAGCACCCAGCTTAGAGCATGTCTTGAGTAGCGAAAGCTGAGAGAAGTACAGGGCTCTGAATTCAAGCTCCAGTATTAGCACACATACACACAAAAGATTTCTTTGCTTTCCCAACCAAATTAGTTTCAGTCACTTTATCAAACAACAGATAATTTTTCAGCAGAAGTTTTCAGGGTTTAGAAGATGGGAGTACCATTAGGCCTGGTGGAAATGAAGAGGTGGAGAACCCTGAGCTGTGTGTGTGTGTGTGTGTGTGTGTGTGTGTGTGTGTGTGTGTGTGTGTACTATTCCATTCAAGCTGGCTTTGAACCAAGATCCTGAGATCTCAGCCTTCTGAGTAGCTACAATGACAGGTGTGAGACATCATCACCCTGCTGTTTATAATCTTTATTTCAAGCTCTCTACCACTTGAGCCATAGCACTACTTCCAGGTTTTTGGTGGTTAATTGGAGATAAGAGTCTCACGGACTTTCCTGCTCAGGTCGGCTTTCAACTGTGGTCCTCAGATCTCAGCCTCCTGAGTAGCTAGGATTAGTGAGCCATTGGCACCAAGCCAATATGCAAATGAGCCAATTTCTTACCTTAACCACAGACTATGTCACTACTGCTTAGGAAAGTTCTGTTGTTTGGTTTTGATGCTGGAGTTAGAACCCAGTGTCTCATATATGCTAGGAAAGCACTTTACTATTCAGCTGCACCTCTAACTTTGTCCTTTAAAAAATCTATCTATCTATCTATCTATCTATCTATCTACTATATTCCATCTTTGCAAATTCTGACCCAGGAAGCCTGGCTTAGGAAAATTCTTTTTTTTTTTTTTTTGGGTCCGGTCATAGAGCCTGAACTCTGGGCCTGGGCACTGTCCCTCAGCTCTTCAGCTCAAGGTGAGTGTTCTACCACTTGAGCCACAGCGCCACTTCCAGTTTTCTGGTGGTTTATTGGAGATAAGAGTTTCACCAACTTTCCTGCCTGGGCTGGCTTTGAACTGTGATCCTCAGATCTCAGCCTCCTGAGTAGCTAGGATTACAGGCGTGAGCCACCAGTGCCCGGCTTTTTTTTTTTTTTTTTTTTTTAAATCTCCCGGCTTTTTTTTTTTTTTTAAATCTTTCACTGTAAAGGTGATATACACAGGATTACAGTTACATTAGTCAGGTACTGAGTATATTTCTTTTTGAACAATGTCACCCCCTCCCTCATTTCCTCCCAGTTTCCCTCCTAACTCCTCTCCCACATTGTATATTCTTTAAAAAACCTTTTACTTGGTTCTGATGTTAGGAAACATTGCATAAGTGAAAGTCTGTGCTCCAACTTCAGTTACTACTTTAACTATCATTTAACATTAACAAACACCTGCCACATACTACCTGTCATTGCACAACAATCCTACAGAGCAGGCCTTGGTTTCTCCTGTTAGATGAAGATATGGAAAATGGGTGATCACAACATCTAAAGTCCTTATGGAACTAGAAAGCCCAAAGGAGCCCTAAGTCTGACTGATCTCAAGCTTGGGGTTATTTCTTCTACTGTGTTATGCAGTGTTCCCACAAACCTTCCCAGGGTCTGATGACTTTGCAAAGCTTGTGGGAGAGGATTCACTGACAGAGATGAAATTTGAACAAGGTTGCTGAGCTGTTTCCTAGCCCCAAATGGAGGGGCTTGGTTCACCTGGCTCACTCACAGAGGCAGATCATCTGAGGCTGGTGATGGTAGCTGTAGGCAGAGGCCAAGGTGAGGCAGGCTAAACCCTCCCAAGGTTTGTGTACACCCACCCTGAACCACCTGCATCCAAGAGGCCTGGCACAGCCCACGTTGCTCTCACAATCATCAGCCATCAAAACAACCATGTGCGAGACTCTGAGATACCAGAAACATCTATGGGCTACGTGCACCAAATATTTTACTCCTTGGTCTCTCGAGCCCAGGTGCATACATTTCAGATGTTTTCTGCAATGGTGGATTTTTTTTTCCCCCTGAAGAAAGAAACAATACTTGGGCTGCTTCTAGGCACTAACGGTTGCCATAGCAACATTCAAATTGCTATGGCAGTGGGTGGAAAGGTGCTCTGGTAATGCTGCCTAGGATCGCACAATGCTCTCTTCTGCTTAGAAGGGAGCAAGCAACACAAAAGGGGAAGGAGAAGAGGCCAGTCCCCAAGAGCTTCTTGGTTCTCTAGCTTTCCCAGGAAACAGGTTTGATCATGGCTCCAGATGATTTTGGTTCAAGTTAGAAAATAGAGACAGAAGACAGCAGCCACATTAAAAACGGTTCTTTGCTGGATGCCAGTGACTCATGCCTGCAATCCTAGCTATTCAGGAAGATGAGATCTGAGGGATCATGGTTCAAAGCCAGACTGGGCAGGAAAGTCCGTGAGACTCTTATCTCCAATAAACCACCAGTAAACCAGAAGTGGACCTGTGGCTCAAAGCGATAGAACGCTAGCCTTGAGCCAACAGCTCAGAGACAGTGCCCAGGCCCTGAGTTCAAGCCCTTTGACCAGCCAAAAAGGGGGTAGGGGTTGTTAGCTAAGAAAGTTTACCCAGAAGTAGAGAATGGATTGCTTTCCATTGCTTCCTTTTCTCCTATCCAGTTTTCCTTCTCCCCTGCCCTCCTCTTCCTCCTCTCATACACTTACCATACTTTACCCACTGCTACTGGTGCTTCCAATAGCTCCACCCACCACAGGCAGTGTGTCCATGGACCAGCCAAGAAGCAGCCAGGCATTCATTGGTTTGCAGTTTCCCCCAGATTAGATGCTTGACTCACTGCCTTTCAAATGGGACAGCCTTTCAAAGCCAGCCTGGACGACCCACAGTTCCATGCTGATAGAAGCCAGAAAAGCCAACAACTAAGAAGATACAACTGTTAGCCAGGCATTGGTGGCTCAGGCCTGTAATCCTAGCTACTCAGGAGGCTGAGATCTGAGAATCGAGGTTCAAAGCCAGCCCAGGCAGGAAAGTCTGTGAGACTCTTATCTCCAATAAACCACCAGAAAACTGGAAGTGGCGCTGTGGCTCAAGTGGTAGAGCACTCATCTTGAACTGAGGGACAGTGCCCATGCCCAGAGTTCAAGCCCCACAACAACAACAACAACAACAACAAAGATATAACTGTAGGGGGTAGGGGGGAGAAATTGTGACACTTGGGGTGACAATGGGATGAATTCAGCTTTGTGTGTATATGTGTGTTTGCTGGTACTGGGCTTGAGCCTAGGACCTCTCATGCTCTTGCTCATCTTATTTGTTCAAGGTGGATGTTCTACCATTTGAGAGTCACCCCCCAACCTAGATAACAGTCTCTCAGGTTTATCTGCCCAGGCTGGCTTTGAACCATGACCCTCAGATCTTAGCTGTCTGATTATCTAGGACTACAGGTATGAGTCATCCGTGTCCAGCTGAATTCACCTTTGATAGACAAGCAGAGTATGTCTGCAGGGACCCAGGAGAAAGAGGAAGAGAACATCGTGAGACAGGGGGTGGGGGGTAGGGGGACTGTGCGGGGGGAGGCAAAGCAAGCCCCCAGGCATGGCCACAATGGGGCAGGAAAGAGGCCCACGTGAATGGAAGGGAAAAGCTGGGCCCAGGTTGGGAAGAATTTGGCATCCACATGACAAACGCTATTAGCAATAGAGACCACTGCAGCCCTGCCGCTGAAGGCAGTGCCTGCTGATCTTCCCACCACCTGCCTCTTCGCCCTCTTTGTATTGCTTTTCTGTATTCTTGACTCAGATATATCCAGGGAAGCTGGGCGCTCGTGGCTCACTCCTGGAATCCTAGCTGCTCAGGAGGCTGAGATCTGAGGATCATGGTTCAAAGTCAGCCAGGGCAGGAAAGTCTGTGAGACTCTTATCTCCAATAAACCACCAGAAAACCGGAAGTGGTGCTATGGCTCAAGTGGCAGAGCGCTCACCTTGAGCTGAAGAGTTCAGGGACAGTGCTCAGGCCCAGAGTTCAAGCCCCACGACCGACCCCCCCAAAAAATCCATGGAGTAGGACCTCAACATGTTTCATGTTTAAGGGACTCTGGTGGCTCACACCTGTAATCCTAGCTACTCAAGAGGCTGAGATCTGAGGATCGTAGTTCAAAGCCAGCCAAGGCAGGAAAGTCTATGAGGCTCTTATCTCCAACTAGGGGCTCAAGTGGTAGAGTGTCAACCTTGTAAAATTAAAAAAAATCAAAGAGACAGGTCCCGAGTTCAAGCCCTAGTACCTACATAAACAAACCAACAACCCCCCCCACCATCAGAAAACCATCATTGACTGGCTTCGTGTGGTCAGCAGGGGAGGGGTCCATGCAGAAGTGTGACTAAAAGGGGCTGCTGTCTTCCCATGCAGAAGGGAACAAAGCCAGCAGACGAAGCGTCATTTATTTTGGCATGAGCTTGCTGTAAAATGCATACATAGCCAGGGACTAAAATG